TACACAAGAAGTCCTAAAAGCAACACGTTCTTTCCCCATGCACACCAACTGCATAATGATGTATTTAACCTGGTCTGTAGTAACCCAGAACCTGTAACTGTGTGTGCAAATCTGAAAATCAGTTTCTTGGCATTAATGCAGCACATTCCACATGCCTGATATCAACATTCTTTTCTAAGTGATTTGATACTGGACTGGTGAACTGAATCTAAGAAGCGAGGGGGCATATGGAAGCAAACGTGGCTCAGTCACACAGCTGGAAACATCTGTCTTTGGATTATTACTACATAGCATCAAGTAACCACTGTCGAACAGAATATTGATTGATTCCTATTTTTGTAGCAGTTTCTGCGATTTTTAATCACATCCATATTGTTTATATCCACAATAGAAGCCACAAAAGAAAAATAGCAGAACTTTATCTTTAATAACATATTGGATGTCAAGTATCAGAGGGGTAGCTGTGTTAGTCTGAATCTGCGAAAGCGACGAGGAGACCTGTGGCACCTTATAGACTAACTGAAGCGTAGGAGCATAAGCTTTCGTGGGCAAAGACCCACTTCGTCAGATGCATCTGCCCACGAAAGCTTATGCTCCTACGCTTCAGTTAACATATTTGATGTATAGCTTCTAGTATACAGGGACTTGAGTTTTGCTAGCTCAGAATGATTTCACCTTTGAAACATCTAGTTGTTAGTGTGACTATGTAGAAATTAAATAGAGAATCAATATTCACACCTATCTGCAATTATTTTTCAACCTTGAAAGATAAAAATTTTGTTTGGAACCACTTCAATATAGCACACAATGATTTCAAAATTAATCTTCCACCAAATCTGAACCATCCATTTGAACATCTGGAGAGAAAATATTATTCAGCCCTAATATTTGTGAATGTTTGCTACAGATAACTTTACCCTGTAGAGCCATGGTGTCCAACCAGTTCTGAAGCAGGAGCTATTATAGTGGCTAGTAGCGAACTAGCCACACTCAACCAGCCAAATAGCCACATGTAGCTAGTGGCTAGTATGATGGATACCACAGCTGCAGAGCTAACCAGTACAGGAAGCGGAAAAAGTACATGACATGCAACTACATAAACAAAGTTCAAACATTTAAGAGATTTACACACACACATTTTTTATTTTATATTGAACAGAAGAGAGACTGTAAGTCCATGGTCCCCAACATTTGAACTGCACAGTCAATGAAGGATTGGGGATCTTGGCCAGGTCATAACAAGTCCTGATACAGGCTGTAATTCAAGAGGAAATGCTTTGGAATGGGACAGGAAAATCTTTCATCCTCTCAGCAATAGCAACGAGTCGTTGAGTTGGCCTCCTAAAAGACTTCATCCATTTGATGTAGAAAGTGAGTGCACAGGTCATGTCCAGGAATGGAGCATGCAGCTTAGGAAAAAACACTGGTAGAAAGATGTCCTGATTCACATGAAGGAATTAATCTACATTTGGAAGAAACACTGGATGTATCTCAAGCTTCACCCTGTCCTTATAAATAATGGCATAACAAGGCTCATATGTTAAGTCTGAAGTTCTGACAGCCTTCTAGCTGATGCGATACTCATGAGAAAAGCCTCTTTCTATCAAAGGTAGAGAAGAGAGCATCAGGCCAGCTGCTTGAAAGGGGGAGCTATTAACCTAGAGAGAACCAAATTCAGATCCGAGAGGGAGGGTACAGCCTGTCCAGATCCTTACAAAAACACTGAACAATGGGATTTGCAAACAATGAGTGGCTTGCGGTGCCAGGGTGGAAAGTTGAGCTAGAGATTAGGTGAACTTTTATTGACAAAGTCTGTTGTTTCAATTGTAGTAAATAGTAGGGATGTGACAGTGTAAATGTGTAAACGGTTAACCAATGAGCCTGGGCTCATCAGTTGACGTTCACAGTTGCACACAGCTCTCCCACCTCCTGTGCTGCTGCCTCTATCAGCTTAAAAGCCAGTTCCGCCGTGAGCACCAGCTCCTGGCCCCTCCCCCGCATGCTGCCTATTCCCCACAAGTAAATGTGTAACCGCTGAAATTTTCAGCGGTTACACGTTTACCCATCTAAATGCATTTTATTGTCTCCAAGAGCAGCTGCACTGTAGCCCCCGAACACAGGGCAGCCACCTGCCATTTGGCCTCACCCTGGGAGCAGCTAGGCAGCGACCCCACAACCTTGGTCTCAGCTCCCGTCTCTTCCCAGGGTTGGAGATGTGGACAGAACTGTGTGGTGGCTGCTCGGCTGCTCCCAGAGTGTGGCTGGTCCTGAGGCCACGGCTGGAGCCAGGCTGCGGTGTGGCTGCTCCTGGGGCCGGAGTCCCCTGCATCCCTGTTACCCTCTCCCAAACTCCTCTTACCCCTCACTGCCCTTTGGCTCTCAGAACCCCATGGCCCCTTCTGCTCCCTGTGGCTCCCCTCTTTGGCTCCCCACATGTTACTACCCCATCCCCAGCACCCCAATCCCTAAAATCCCTGGGCTTTGGCAACAGCTTCCCTCTGCCCCAGGTGGGGACAGGCAGCCCCTACCCTATACAATGGCTGCCCCAGGAGCAGCGTTCTCTGAGGGAACAGGTCTCACCTTCTCCCTAAGAGGTGCGGGGGCAATGCCTGTGTGCAAGATTTGAGGTCTCAGCAAAGGGGGGGCGAGATGGGATGGGGTCTCTGTGCTGGGGGAGTCTCTCAGGGAGCAGAGCCACTAGTGGGTGTCACAGTGGCACACACCGGAACAAGCGTACATGGCCTCTGCGTGTGCACAAGACAAAACTCTCTCCACTCATGGATAGAAAATCTTAGATGGAATATTGCCAAACACCCTTTTAAAAATCTATTTAGGCAGGAAATAAGAACAAATCATAATAATGAATTTAAATAAAAAAGGCAACACGTAACAGTTGCTAAATGCAGTACTAAATTGTATTAGCAATATTTCAACTAGTCAAACAGGTTACTGACAGGAACACTTATTCTAGGCTTAATTCTTGTATAGGAAGGCAAAGAGATGAAATCACCAGCAGTCTCTTTGGATGAAAAACAAAATGTAAAACATATCAGCTGCTTAATATTTAGTATCAAGAGTTCAATATAGGACTTTTTTAAAAAAAAAAAAAATACTGCATCCAAACAACATTGCAAGAGGAAAAAACTTAAAAAACAGCAAATAGTCCTGAACATAGTTCCCTCTAAGCTACATGCTTGCATGTGTACACACAAAAAATGTCTACCCTACCCACCTCCCAAGCAGAGCTGCACAACAGCATGGTGGGAGGCAAGTGGCTGTTTGGAGAGCAGGGAGGCAGCTGCACCAGCTAGCCACAGCCTGAGGAGCCAGGTGGCGGGCAGGCAGCCATACGCGACCAGAGGAATCGCATGGCAGGTGGGCAGCTGCTCCGACCAGGGCCAGAATAACCATGTGGCATGCAGCTGACTGCTCTGTCTGGGATTTGGTGTCGCAGGCGGACGGGTTGCTGCCACTGGGATTTGGGGCCATGGGCAGGCGGCAGAGCAGGTTGCTGCTGCCAGGATTTGGGGTTGTTGGAGGGAGGGTTGCTTCTGCTGGGAGTTGTGGCCACAGGCGGGAGATTTGCTACCACCGGGGGTTAGGAAAGAAAGTATTCTTCATTCCTATTATTAAAACAGAGAAAGGAAAGGTACCAAAAAAAAATTAAGTGATCAGAGCTGAAAACAGATCCTGGATGTTAAGCTCTCTTGCAGTATATGCTGGATTAACGGATCACTGCTCAAGAATCCACACCATAAGCAAATCTGGAGCTAAGAGCTATACTGTGTCCTTTATAGCAGCATGGAAGCGTATGGTGAACTGGAGGAGAGAAGGTAGGACTACTTGCAGTTTGCTTTTATCTGTGCCCAGCTCTGCTGATGACTTCCTGTGTGACTTCAGGCAATTTACTGACTACTCCATACCTCACTTTACCTGTCCGTAATATAGGGACATTGTGCCTCAAAAGCATCACAGAAGCTTTGGAATGCCTTGTTCATTTAATGTGGGCAAAGTGGCATGAGACTGCCAGTGCAAATGGGAAACAGTTATCTGGTACATTGAGTGGCTAATCTCACCTTAGTAGGCCAAGCTATGGGCTTCCTCCATGTCACCAAAAAATAAATATATATCAACGCCACCTGTGCCCTCAACTTTATGCCCTCCCCTTTCACTGGAGCTGCAAGAAAGGGGAAGCACAGAACTGCTCCTTTGGCAGGGGAATTCTCCCATGGGTGGGTGCCACAGTGTCAGACATCCAAACAAGTGCACGTGACCTCATTGCTGGCGCACAAGAGAAAACTCACTCCGCTCACAGATGGAAAATCTTAGCGAAAACACTGGTCCTATAGAACCTTAGAGAATAACAAAAACATGTAGATGGCAGAAGAAGTAGGTTCTGCCCACCAAAACTCATGATACCATCTACATTTTTTGTTAGTCTCTAAGGCGGTACAGGACTATTCACTGTTTTTTAAGTTTTTTCAGTTACAGACTAACACTGTTACTCCACTGAAAACTTTTGGATGTTGCAATAGGAATTTATAGAATCAGAGTATGATTACCAGAGTTAAAAAAAAATCTAGCCAGGACTTGAATGTTAACATCTCCATTCTTAAAAGATTTCAGGACTTTGTTTTTATATTGCACCCAAAAAAAACTGGACTGCCAACAGCATAGTGCCCCTATCACTACTCAAGGTCCTGCTTCAGTTCCAACTTAAATTCCATCTTATTTAATCATCAACACCATCTCCCCTGCAGCACACAGTACAGAAGGATTCCTAAAAACACCTAAATATTGACCTGATGCAGCTTTATTTTCAGCAGCTTGTAAAATCAGATGGCATCAGACCAGAAGATAATATAGCTGCAGGCTCTTCACAAGTTTGAAAGATTAACACAAAGTTTGTAATTACTACTTAACACATTTGAACAACTTCCCTTAAGAAAAATCGACCACCATATTGACAAAACTAAATAAAATGTAAAGTGTTAACTTACAGAATCCAGAAAGCAGAGGTAGGTCCCTGAGCTCTGTATTACTGCTTGGTTTTTAGCAAAGCCAACTGAAGAGAAAGTCGAAAGATAATGTTATACATAACTTTAGAATTATTTTTCATCTCAATCTATTTAAAATTATACTGTAGTCAAGATTAAATGAGACATATAAAGGGGAGATCTATGTTATGAAAAATGTATTGTTTTTCATGGCTTAAAACAAGAATCTTTGAAGTACTGAAGCTACCTGGTCCAGTTTTGATCTCTCAACAGATACCGGTCTATCATGATGTGTTCCATCCACTGCATCTCACATGCTGATAAGATCTATGGGTCAGGGCAGTGGTTGATCACTGTTCCTAGCTCTGGGTCATTCAGGTACCCTCCCCATGTCTGACTCCTTCTTGAGCAGTGGGATCCTGCAGTCTGGTCACCTGGACACTAGAAGCCTGAGATCAACTCTCAGCCCTTCTAAGCCTTCAGTTGCTCGAATGCATTTCCCTGAGACCACCTGGCTGAGAGTGCTCGGGTTTCTAGTTAATCCCTCTAAGGACCACATGGCATAAAGCAAGGAAACAAAAAAGCATAGCAAAGGAAATTCACAAACACACACACTTTACATTTTAAAAGCACAAAATATCTATGGAAAACAAACTCCTCAATGAAATCCCTCTCATTCTCTTCTGTCTCCCCCTTTAATGTGTCCATTGTGTTCTCCAAGTCCTTTCCACCTACACTCCTCCTTCTGAGCCATCGGTTTGTGCTAATGGAATGGCTTCCTTAGCTTAGAGACTAATACTCTTCTAAAGTAGATTTTGCCCCTCTTTAGTCTGATGGAGAAAAGTGCAGCACTACTAGTGCAAACAATACAGTTCCATAATTACAAGCCACAGCCACTCAAGTAGTAACAGTCATTACCAAATACAGCTGGGCAATCATTTTTCCCTTCCTGTAAATTACATATTTTATGGAGCTTAGATGACCAAATGCTAGAGCGGTGGCCAATCTGTGATTCTGGAGCCACCTGTGGCTCTTCTGAAGTTTATATGCAGCTCCTTGCTCAAGCACTGACTCCAGGGCTGCAGCTACAGGAGCCAAATTTCAAGTGCTCAACTCCTGGCTCCACCTCCTCCTCCAAGAGTATTGTGCCCTTGCTCCTTCCCTCCCGCACAGAGCTTCCTGAGTGCCAGGAAACAGCTGATTGCAGTGGGCAGAAGGCACGGAGAAGAAAAAGGAGGCACTGTTCAGTGGGGCTGCTGGTGGGCAAAAGATACTGGAGATCGGAGGATGCGGCACCTGAGGGAGACTGCTCACAAATTACTGTAGCTCTCTGGCCATGTGCATTGGTAAACTGTGGCTCCTTCTCAGGCTCAGGTTGGCCACACTTGTGCTACACCATCAAATATGTGTAAAAAGATTTTACTCCAGGACAAGGCAACTAAAGAAGAAAAATATTTGATGCTCTACTCCTTGCCTTTATGGCCCACAGATGGCCAGACCAGAGAGGTTCAACATAGACAACTCTGCTCTAAATCAGGGATTTTCAGCATTTTTAATTCTGACCCCCCCAACATGCTATAAAAAATTGCATGGCCCAACTGTGCCACAACAACTGGTTTTCAGTAGATTAATAGCCAGGGCCAGTGTTAGAGGATAGCAATCAGAGCAATCTCCAGGGTCTCATGCCACAGGGAGCCTTCAAAAGTTGAATTTCTCAGGCTTCAGTTTCAGCCTGGAGCTTGCTGCCCTGGGCTCCAATGAATCTAATGCTGAATCTGCTCTCTGATCTATTTTGGCAGTCTCCTTGAAACCTGCTCGCAACCCTCCATACCCCTGGTTGAGAACTGCTACTCTAGAGGTCATTTACCCTAAAACAATAAAAACTGACACATGCAGGCCAGTAATCTGTAGATCCCTGTGTGGATACAAAATCTATATCCATATCTGCGTCCATATCCCAAAGGTGAGCTGTGGATATCACACAACCATCTGCAAATTTGCAGGTATAAAATATATATCTTCAGCCGTACCTGCAAAAATGAACCATGGATGTGGATACCCATGGATATAAAGTGGATATCTGCAGATTTGTAGAGCTCTAGTAATCTGCCTCCAAAAACAGCCAATGACAGATCCTCCAAAAGAAGCCATATATAGTAGCACACCATGACGAACATTTCTTATTGACTTCAACTGATGATCATCTTATGTTCTGCAGAAAACTATAACTCTTATTTTTTCCTAATTAATATAACAGTTGGTGCTATTCTCTCTAGCTTTTGCAGTGAAGGGTTAAAAGAATGTTCAGGGATTTCGTGATTTTTAAACGAAGTTCAGTTATATTCATTAGAAACAGAGATTTCATAATCATCCTTGTCTTAAATAGGATTAAGGATGGATAGTGTGCTCTTTACAAATGGAGACTGCAAAGCACTTTCACAAAACTAAACTAAAACACTGGTTAATCTACAACAGGGCTGGGCAACATGTGGCCTGGAAGCTGCTCAAATATGTGTAAAAAGATTTTACTCCAGGACAAGGCAACTAAAGAAGAAAAATATTTGATGCTCTACTCCTTGCCTTTATGGCCCACAGATGGCCAGACCAGAGAGGTTCAACATAGACAACTCTGCTCTAAATCAGGGATTTTCAGCATTTTTAATTCTGACCCCCCCAACATGCTATAAAAAATTGCATGGCCCAACTGTGCCACAACAACTGGTTTTCAGTAGATTAATAGCCAGGGCCAGTGTTAGAGGATAGCAATCAGAGCAATCTCCAGGGTCTCATGCCACAGGGAGCCTTCAAAAGTTGAATTTCTCAGGCTTCAGTTTCAGCCTGGAGCTTGCTGCCCTGGGCTCCAATGAATCTAATGCTGAATCTGCTCTCTGATCTATTTTGGCAGTCTCCTTGAAACCTGCTCGCAACCCTCCATACCCCTGGTTGAGAACTGCTACTCTAGAGGTCATTTACCCTAAAACAATAAAAACTGACACATGCAGGCCAGTAATCTGTAGATCCCTGTGTGGATACAAAATCTATATCCATATCTGCGTCCATATCCCAAAGGTGAGCTGTGGATATCACACAACCATCTGCAAATTTGCAGGTATAAAATATATATCTTCAGCCGTACCTGCAAAAATGAACCATGGATGTGGATACCCATGGATATAAAGTGGATATCTGCAGATTTGTAGAGCTCTAGTAATCTGCCTCCAAAAACAGCCAATGACAGATCCTCCAAAAGAAGCCATATATAGTAGCACACCATGACGAACATTTCTTATTGACTTCAACTGATGATCATCTTATGTTCTGCAGAAAACTATAACTCTTATTTTTTCCTAATTAATATAACAGTTGGTGCTATTCTCTCTAGCTTTTGCAGTGAAGGGTTAAAAGAATGTTCAGGGATTTCGTGATTTTTAAACGAAGTTCAGTTATATTCATTAGAAACAGAGATTTCATAATCATCCTTGTCTTAAATAGGATTAAGGATGGATAGTGTGCTCTTTACAAATGGAGACTGCAAAGCACTTTCACAAAACTAAACTAAAACACTGGTTAATCTACAACAGGGCTGGGCAACATGTGGCCTGGAAGCTGCATCCAGCCCACCTAACACTTTAATCTGGCCACTTTCTTTTTATATCCTGCTGCCCATGCCGAATTTGCAGGTGGTGGCTCAGGCAGCACAATCCTACTTAAATGGCTCCCGGTTGTGGTGCAACCCAGCAGGGGCTGGAGCCTCACTCCCTTTAAATAATTGCAACCCCAGATGGGTGCAAGGCAATAGGGGTAGCAGTGGGGCTGGGAGCCAGGAGCCCTTTGCTGTGTGTTTAATTCAAAGCCTGTGGCCCCAGCCAACTCTGGAGAGATGCTAGTCCCTAGTCCTGCCCCTTCAGCCCTATGCCCCATCCCTTCCATGTGCGGAGCTGGTCCGTGACCATGTTCCAAAACTCAGCAAGTGCTTCCCCACACAAAAATTATTGCCCACCCCAATCTACAATACTGGCTCAAACCCAAAGCAGATTAATAATGAGTACAAATAACCACCACTTGATGGCTCAATATAAACATCATTTTATGAAATAGGTTGGAAGGCTCAGACCAGTTCCTACTGAGCAGATGCACACATCAACCTTATTTAGCAGTTTCACCAGTTTATCACAACTAGGGAAATGCTGAACTATATCAAGCATCTAGTCTATGCTAAAACATTCTGGTATTATTGTTACATTGTCCTTTCTCTCCCATTCCCATCTATTGTACTGTAAATTCTCTGGATCAGGGACTGTGACTTTTACTGCGTGTTTGTATAAACATACACACAACAAGGCCTTAATCCTCATCTGGGCCCTCTAGATGCTATTTTAATATAAATTATAGCGCAACAACAACAAAAGGGCAAGGATTTACAGACTGGCCAATCTTTTTGGCCTTAGTTGTAGGCACTTCAGAGCACTCTAGCAAGGCACAGGACAAGAAAGCCTGCAGAGTACTACTCTGCCTGTTCTGTAATCAATAGAAAGATTTCCAGTGCTATAAAAACTATTTTAGACAGACTGCTCCTCTCAACAGAAGATAATATATTTGGTAATTCTCTTTATCTAGGGCTACATGAATCACTGAGGGGAGCAAATCAAAAGACACAGAGGTACAATGAGCATAAATATGGCATGCTTACATGGGAACACTGACCCAGACACACACACAAGTGTAGTCAAATTATAATGCTGATATCATGGATCTAATGTACCCACATTAACAGTGCATCCGAGGCAGTTTCTAAAAGCATACTAATGCCTTGTCAACACAAAAACGTTCAGTGGTTTAGTTAATCAACTGAAACACTTTGTGGATATTCTTATTTCTGTTTATGAATGTGTTATTTCAGTTTAGCTTAAATCTGTTCCCAAGGGAATGAAATTAAATCAAAATTAGCCTGTTTTAAACAGAATTAAAAGTGTTCACACTGCCCATTGCATCAGTTTAACTAAATCAGTTTAAAAGTCACTTGTACATGAAGACAAATCTACTAATAAGCAAAATTATTTTTAAAAAG